GACATGGGCCTAACCAGAGGGTCAGAGCCTCAACTCACAGGGGGTGTATTTTTTTTTGTTGTTGTTCTTAACTGTTAAATTTTTATTTATTTATTTATTTTATTATGTTATGTTAATCACCATACATTACATCATTAGTTTTTGATGTAGTGTTCCATGATTGTTTGCGTATAACACCCAGTGCTCCATGCAGAACGTGCCCTCCTCAATACCCATCACCAGGCTAACCCATCCTCCCACCCCCCTCCCCTCTAGAACCCTCAGTTTGTTTTTCAGAGTCCATCGTCTCTCATGGTTCATCTCCCCCTCCAATTTCCCCCCCTTCATTCTTCCCCTCCTGCTATCTTCTTCTTCTTCTTCTTTTTTTTAACGTATAATGTATTATTTGTTTCAGAGGTACAGGCCTGTGATTCATCAGTCTTACACAATTCACAGCACTCACCATAGCACATACCCTCCCCAGTGTCTATCACCCAGTCACCCCATCCCTCCTACCCCACCCCCACTCCAGCAACCCTCAGTTTGTTTCCTGAGATTAAGAATTCCTCATATCAGTGAGGTCATATGATACATGTCTTTCTCTGTTTGACTTATTTCGCTCAGCATAACACCCTCCAGTTCCATCCACATCATTGCAAATGGCAAGATCTCATTCCTTTTGATGGCTGCATAATATTTCATTGTATATATATACCACATCTTCTTTATCCATTCATCTGTCAGTGGACATCTTGGCTCTTTCCACAGTTTGGCTATTGTGGACATTGCTGCTATAAACATTGGGGTGCACGTACCCCTTCGGATCTCACAGGAGATGTATTAGTGAGCAGCATAAAAAAGCACCCTTCTGTGGCTGATAAATGATACAAAAGTGGCCTTTTCTCCCTTTGAGAAGTCCCTCATTGGGGCACAAAACCAAGTCTGCATTTTGGCCTCCACTTACCCATTTGTCTGGCACCTTTGCTCACAGCACAGACTACATAAACTCATTGGTACTCTGGAGTGGGCAGGAGCAAGGGAAGTCATTATCCACAGCTGGCCAGAGAAACATCACCCAGGCAGTGGAGGAGACACCCTGCAGGGGAATTCTCAGGGAAACCACAAGATTCTCTCTTAGGATAAATAGTTGGCTCAAAATACCTGCGGAGCCTGGAGGCCTGGTGCTAGATTCCAGTTGCAGAGGTCTCAGATGCTGAGTCTGGAGAGGAGGAGGTGGGTGTGCAGCCTAGTGAGGAAGGAGAAATGGATGCACCCATTTTCCCATGCCTCTTTGCAGCCCAAAGCAGTCCTGACCTCAAGGGCAGAGAGAGCCTAACAGATAGGAAGGTAGAGGGAATCTTACACTGAACTGGGACTGTTCTGGGTGCTCAAAGTTAGGGACCTGCGCAAGATTTTATATGCAAGGGCCCAGGAAATGTGTCTGGACATTGAGCCTGAATGGCATTGGAGAGAAGCAAAGAAGTTGCCTTCTATGTGCACCCATTCTATCTAGTTAATAAGATGCAATAAGATAATGGCATCTGTAGTCCTGCTGGAAAGCCCAGGGCTTAGCACAGACCAAGGGGTAATACATGAGGTTTGAAAGGCACATATCCAGCTCCTCTGTTAGAATTTGGCAGTGTTTGCAGTTCACTTTCTGCCACATCATTATTTTCCTGTGAATAAGTAGAGTTGGAAGTGGAAGGCAGGGCATTTATGTATAAGAGTTTGTGGCAGGCGAGCCTGCCAACTTAGCAGCTCTCCTGTCAAAGCCCAAGGATTCTCTCTCCTTGCGGGGTATGCATGCAGAGTGGTGGGCTGCTTGAAGCTCTGCAAACAGATGAGCAGCCAACTAATAGGTCAGTCAATTAGTATTATTGGGCATCTACCATGTGCCTGGCTTGGGGACTAGGCAGCTGGGAATTCACAATGAGGTAAGTGCATGTCCTTCTGCTCTTTAAATCAAAGAGTTTTCGGCTTCCACGGGGATTTTTATTGGCATTGTACTTTCCACAATTTATTTTTATAGAGCCTTTTATGTGAAGTGTCTCAAAGCTAAGCAGAGGGAAGGAAAGAAACACACAGGAAGGCCCCATGTCTTCTTCCAAGCTCATGATCCCCATCGACTCACACTTGGTGGTGTTGGGTGTGAAGAACATCATCTAAAAATAAACCAGGCTGCAAAGCAGAGGCCTGTACCATGATGGATCCTAGGGAAGGGTAGTGTTGCTGAGATGATTCTTTTTTTATGCCAGTGTTTCTTGTTCTTTGTTATGTGTTCTTCCCTGGTTCAAGCCAGGTTTAGAAAATTCTAAACTTGAGCACTGACCTTGTGGACTGAGAAAATGACTTCGGGTTGTGAGGTTGTGAGTGGGAGCTGTTCACTGGGGTCTGGAAGCCCCGCATGGGTCCTCTCTGATGGTGTCCGGAGACCCATGGCTTGGGATGAGGGGCCATTTTGGCAGTAAATTCTTGCACTTGAAAGAAGCAGATGGGCCCCACCTCAGCAGAGAGCAGGTATTTGCCTGGCCCTCAGGTCCATCCAAGAGGGAGCCGGGATGCCCAGACCACGGGCAGGGAGGCAGACTGAGAATTGCAGAATCAGTGTTATGTCTCTGGGCTGGTCACTGCTGCTCCCCCCAATATGAGCTTTCCCAGAGATCTGCAGTGAGCCTAAGGCAAAGGAGGACATTAGAAGGAGGTGTCTGTGGGGCAACGGGGGGTGGGTGGGGGGGATAACCAGGAGACTCCTCAGCTAGGCTAGAAAGGGGACCTGGAGGGATGGACTAGGAGAGGCAGACTGAGGTCTGGGCTGGAGGACCAGGCCTGTAATAAGGAGCAAGGACCTGGGGTTGTGTGGTGGAGAGTCCTGTGAGGTTGAGTCCTGGGGCCCAGAGGAAAGGGAATATTAGCAACCTGGTCTTCTAGACCTGCATTTTGAATGACTGGTGTGTGCATATGTCTGGTCTAATTTGTGAAGGGTATCCAGCCTTACCTACAACAGGGCAGAGGCCACAGCTGCCGTGAGTCCTTTGCTTAGAGAGAAACAGACAATAAGAGGTGGAAACAATGAGTGCAGCAACTCTTGAAGAGCCACAGTCCTAGCAAAATGTGTGAAACCATTCTCCTGGGAAAGGGAAGCAGCATTTAGTGCCAGACACAGTGCTGGAAGCTTTTGTACTTTGTCTCATTAAGCACTTACAACCCTATGGCCTCTTTTGTTAAAAAAAGAAACCGAGGCAGAAGTTGGGAAGTAACTTGCTCGAGGTCACCGGCTATTCTGTAGCAGACCAGAGACTGAAGTCCAGGCCTGTGAGACTCCTTGCACTACTAATAACTGATCAGACACAAGGGTTTGAAAAGGCCTCCAAGAGTGGTAGAAAGTTTGATAGCACACTCTACAGTTCTTTGAATTTTTCACAGAAGCCAAGAAAAGCCTTCTGGGTCAGTGGCCTCTGAGGGTACCGTGTGGTTTAGAAGAAAGCTGGGGGATAGAGACCTCAGGGTCACTTTGACCAAGTGTTCATTTAGTCTCCATTCAGGGATTTCCTGATGTTGTGGGTGGGACTTCTTTCTTCTGTGTGTCCCCGGACAGCCATCTATGTAGGGACATCACAATATTCATAACATTTCAATTCATTCATGCTGCTCCTATTTGTGAAATGGTGACCATGTGTAGAGTTCTGATATTAGAGACTGAAAAACAAAAGACACATCAGACATGGGGTCCATCTTTAAGAAGAATCACCCTGGCACTGGTTTAGCTCGCCTGAAGGGCGCCTTGGCTGCTGAGGAAAAACCAGGCCTCTGATGGAGAGAAGGCATCTACCTATTGTCAGTGACTCACAGAGCAGAGAGCTGACCCCTCCATGCCTGGACAGAGGGTGGCTGTTTTTTGCTCAGCAGCCCCCTCTCCCCTCCCAGCTCAAGGATATGGCTGTCTCCTTAGACCACCGTTGAAGGCTGTGGGCTAAGGGAGGCAGGTCTTGTCATGACTTCAAGGAAACTGGATCTGGTCAGGACCAAATGGAGAGAGATGTACTCACCAAGATAAAAAGATTCTGGCTTCACGTATTGAGGCAATGTTTACATCCTGAATTCCCTACACACTGACAACACTGAAACTCCCAGCTGACCTGTAGCCAACTGACCTCACAGTCTAGCACAGGTTAGTGACTTTTGCAATAGTCTGTCCTGTCCAAAGGGCCCAAACACTCCATCTGTCTTGCTCTGACACTGCAAACCCACCCCGACCCTGGCCCCTCTGCAACTCGGTTTTGGCGGTCGCGGGTGGGGGGGTGCCGTCTCAGGTAAGTATGAACCAAGTGACCACCCCTAGGGAACACAGTCGTCAGTAGTTCCAGATGTGGGCATGGCTCAGAATGCTGCTGGCATCAGGAGCCTAGCTTAGGAAAGTGGTACGTACAACAGGGTGGTGGACCAACGACCACAGACAAGCCCCCGCCGTGTCCCCGGTGAGCGCTGCAGTGCCTCGGAAGGCCAGCAGGGGAGGCACTGCGGGCTCAGGCCAGCCCGGCAGCGACGAGGCTCCAGTGCGCAGGCTCGTGGGCGCCGCTGGGATTGGACGGCTCCGGCGCCGCTGGGATTGGACGGCTCCGACCCCGCAGGGCCGGCGGGCTCCCGCGAGAACCCAACTGGCAAGGCGGGCTGGGGGCGGGCCGGGGGCGGTTGGGGCCAGGGGGGCGGGGCGGGGCGGGGCAGGGCCAGGTGGAGCGGGGCGGGGCAGGGCCAGGTGAGGAAAGGTGGTGGGGGTTCAGGTGGGACGGGGGACGATGGGGGAGGCCGCTGCGCAGCAGCGTGAGAGGGCGGACTTGGGCCCACCCTGTGGTCCCAGAGGGAGATGCCATTGATACCCAGGGGCCGAAAGAGTAGGCTGTGGCCCTAGACACCAGGAGGCCTGCCTGCGCTGGTTTTCGGGCAGACCCTGGGCAGAGTGAGGCCCGAGTCCACTGCAGCCTGGCGGGGCGGTGAAGACCCTCAGCCTGGGCAGTGTGATGCCCAGCTGTACTGTGATATGTGTTGTGGTTCCTGTGTGTGACAGGTTTGGGGCAGGAAACACTTTGGCTCTGTGGTAAAGAAAGGCCTTGAACTCTCGTTGAGGAGCATGGAGCTGATATGATTGGTAAGAAGCCATAATCTAAGGTACTAAGGTACTAAGACATGGTGTTCGCTGGCTCGGGCTGGGGAGGTTTAGAGGCCAAGAACTCCATTCCCACTCAAGGACCAGTGAGGTTTGAGGGGCCTAGCAAGAAACAGCATTAATTCATCAGTTAATTCAACAGCATGTTTTGAACACCTCCTGCGTGCCAAGCACTGTTCTGCAAGTTGAGAATATACATGAACAAGATAGGCAGGGTTCCTGCCATGAAGGAGTTATATTACAGGTGGGAAATAGCCAGTCAAGGCTGAGTCCTGTTTTTTTTGCCTTGCCTACTTTTGCCTCTCTTTAATGAGATGAGGAAAACTGTAGGTGGGGGGTAGTTTTCATTTTTGGAAGGGGTAGAACCAAGAATTAGGTTTTGAATATGTTAGGTTTGAGATGCCCACTAGGTATTTCTCCAACGTGCAAAATAACAAACAACATAGTTGGAAAGAATTTTCCGGTGAACTCTGTATACCCACCACCTGGGTCCTACCATTAACATCTAGCCACCCTTGGTTTTTTTCACATAGTGATTTATCTCTCCGTCCCTCTCCATCTGTCACCTTGCAGATTTATTTATTTTTATTATGGTAAAATATACATAACATAAATCTAGTAGATTTTTAAGGTGAGTTGTTAGATTGGCCATTGGAAATTTGAGTCTGAAGTGCTGGGTGATGTCAGGGCTTTGGAATCACTACTATATAGATGGTATTTAAACGAAGGGATTGGTTGAACACTTAGGTTGAGAGTGTACACAAAGAAGAGGAGGGGAAGCCAAAAAAGGGAGGAGGTGGTGGTTAACTGTGGCGAATGCTACTGTGTAAGATAATTGCAGAGTTAGGATTTTAATCATTTTAATAAGAAAGACTTCAGTGGAGTAGAGGGGCCTTAAGGTCAAGCGGATTTTTTTTTTTTTTTTGCAAGATAGAAGAAACTAGAATATGTTTATATGCCAGTGGGATTGAACGCATAGGGAGAATTGCAGATGAGAGACGGGAACATTGCAGGGGGAAGTCCTTGAATATCTGAGAGGGGAGGAGACCCCAGGCACATGGGTAGTTGGCTTTGAATTGACAGGAACACATATTCCGTTATGACAATCAGTGTGGATGCAGACGGGGTAGTGGCACATGTGTCTGTGATGCGGTCATTGGCCGAAAGGGCACAGGGGAGAGGAGAAGAGGTGTTAGAACTTGGAGGAGACACATGTGCCATCGTCCTTCTGGAGACTGGAAAAGTGAACTTACTAGGGAAATGGGATTGGACTGTCAAGCAGTGTTGAATACCTGTTTGAGATGTGTAGTCATGAATTTAAAGTGAGATCAACCAGTGGGGGTTGTGTGGTTTTCTCTGGGAATGTTAGACCCTGGAAGTGGGTTTTGAGGATTAAATGAGGCAATATATGGAAACCATTTAATAAGTGGCAAGCACATGATGAATGTTACCTATTTTTGTTTGAGTTCTCATTTTGTTTTTCTTTTGTTTATGCAAATGTAACTAAGGGGAGCTGACCTTTACCACCTGACAGGGTCTTGTTCTCCAATGAACCCTGAATGCACTGTTTCCGGCTCCTTGGAAGTCTGGCTTCTGGTGTGGTTATATTTATACAGCTTGATAATTGGGGATGTTGGCTAAAAAGGCCAAACTGTAGCAAACGGGGCTCTCATTGTCAGACTGAATCAGTCTTGAACTGGATGGGCTAGGGCTTTGGTCACAGTGGCAGTTGTAAAGTTCTTGTGAAAATCTTCTATTTTGCATTTCATATTGGATCTGATGTACTGGGGATTTACAGAATCTACAGTTCTAAGATCACCAGAAGAGATTTTCAGATTAATAGGTTGTCATTTCTCCCTGACCACTTGTGCTGTATTGTGATACAAATAATAATATGGGCTGGCACCCACAGCTCTTTTAAAAAATGCTAAGTACTGTTCTAAGTATATCACATGCATTGTTTTGTTTAATCCTCACCCCAACTCAAGTGAGGCAGGTACTGTCATTATCTTTCTTTTTCAGGTGCAAAAATAGTGCAGAGAGGTTAAGTAACTTACCCATAGTACACACAGTCTGATCTCCAGTTTCTGCTGCAGCCTAACTTTAAAAAAATTGTTTTAAGACTGCTTGGCCATCACTCATCTACACTGTAGTGTAGTAGTTAAGGTAACAGACTGAAGCAAATTGCCTGGGTTCAAAAACCGCCACTTACTAGCTCTGTGTCTTTGTTCAAATCATTTAACTTCTGTGTACATTTGTGTTGTTGTTTTTTTTCTATGAAACGGGAATAAGAATAGTACTTGCTTGGTAGGGTTATTGTGAGGATCACATGAATTAATGTATTTAATAAGCTTAAAATAATGCCTGGTTGTTTAAATGCTATTATCATCTCCCTGGTAGTGCAGCCAGGGTGATATGTGTACTGATTGATTGACTCCCCTAAAATCATTCTCTAAGGCCCCTGCTATGGTACTGTGTTTAGTGGAGTTTGAAAATTGCAGGGCACTCTGTTAATGTTCCTAATTCAGGGATTGCCTTTCCTTAGATTTCATTATCTCTCTGTTGGAAGCAAATATAACAATTTGCCTCTAGGTGCAGAAAACGACTTAGGTTTCATTCAGACTCATTTGACCAGTGAGGTTAATTTCATTAGTCCTGGTGTTGTATACCACTTAAAGGGAAATAAGGCCTGGGCATCCCATTTTGTCATTCCCAAATCGGCAGCCTGATGGGATTTAGTTAGAAAGACCAGCGGCCTGCATAGCTGTTGCTGGGCACAGCGTATGGTAAATGATGTGGGTCAGTGGTCTGCACGTTAAAATGTTCTGAAAAGATCTGTAAAATTTAGACTTTCTGTGATGTGTTGTATCAGTTACTGATTAAAAGCAACTGGGCAGGCTTGGCATGGAAGGCCAGTGAAAGTTCTAAATGATCTTTGCTGGTATATAGTAGGGAGAGTAAATGCATGATATAAAGTAATGGTTCCCTGTGGGTTTTTGTCAGAATCACCAGGGGGAAGTTTTATGATGCTTTTGAAATGACAGGCTCCATGTGCATGGATTCTGAATCACTAAGTTATGGCAGGGTTCTGGAATCAATATTTTTTGAGAGCTCCACGAATGACTCAGATGTGCAGTTAGCATTGGATGTCATTTGTGCAAATCAGGTGTTTTTCAGCGCTGTGTTTTAGAATCACAGATCAATTAGCTTTTTAAAGAATACTGATAACTCTGGACCTACCCCAGGGATTCTGATTTAATTGACTTGCACAAGATCTGGACATCGGTATTGGTTATTTTTAAAAAAAGCTTAGGTTGATTCTAACCTGCATCCAGGTTTGAGAATCACTGGTATAAATAATCAGCTAGATTTCCCTTCAAAGTTTAGTTACTCATAGATTTAAAATAGACATAGTTCAGGCAGCATCTTATCATCAGGACGGTGAAAAAAGTTAGCATTTCTGAACTTCACCAATGCAAATGTTCAGTTCAGTAATCAGGTAACAAAAGAAGGTATGAATTGATGATTGAATTAACATTTATCATACTACGCAATGAAAATTTCATCACGTTTGCCCTGGAGAGGCAAATTTACATTTACTAAGAGCTTTGTGTATAATCACAATCTTCAGGAAGTGTGTATTATTCCTACTTTGTAGAAGAGATTTTTGGGGCTGAGGGAGGTTAAGTAACTTGCCCCAGATTTCCACCCCAGTGTGTACAGCTCCACAGCCTAGGTTCCATTTCCTCAGTAGTTTTCTATCTGGCCTTCACACTGGGATCACCTGGAGAACTTCAATGATCAAAACTTGAATCCCATTCTTAGATTCTGATTTCATTGGTTTGCTGTGGCCTGGAATCAGTATTTTGCAGAGCGCTCCAGGTAATTCGAATGTGCACAGTCCTGGTGGTCTAAATTTATTTTCTTTTACACCAGCAGGTAGCCATCTGTGGACTGCTATGACTAGGTTCCTCACCTTCTCAAATTTACTTCCTTCGTATCATTTCTTTCTCGTCCTTTTAATACGTATGTGTTGAATGCCCACTTTGTGCCATTCGTCTTGGTGCTGAGATGACACATGGTGACACAAGTCACCATGGTACTTATATTGAGGGAGATAGTAAACATGTGAGCAGATGCGTAAGGACTTACATACATAAGTAAACTTTAAGGTAATGAAAAGTACTTTTAAGAAAATGAAGCAAGGTAATGAGTAAAGTGATCCTGACAGCCATGCCTGAGAGTTCCAGTTGCTCCACATTTTTGCTAGAACTATTTTGTATTGTTTGTGTGCATGTGTGTTTCACTTCAGCCATTCTAATGGGTCTGTAGTGGTATCTTGTTATTGTTTTCTTTTGCATTTTCTGTTGACAAATGGTATTGAGCATTTTTTCATATGTTTATTTACCATCCATAGTTTTTCTTTGGTGAAATGTCTGTTCAGATATTTTGCTCATTTAGAAAAACATGGGTTGTTTGTCTTCTTGTTGAGTTATAAGGGTTTTTATATGTTTGGAATACAAGTCCTTTTTCAGATAGGTGTTTCTTCTAGCATGTGGCTTATCTTTATATTTTCTTAACATTATCTTTTAAAGAGCAGGGTTTTTAAATTTTTATGACTCTGTCAATTTTTTCTTTTGTGGTTTGTGCTCTTAGTATCCTAATATATGTATTTTCTCACAGTTCTGGAAGCTAGAAGTCTGAAATCAAGTTGTGAGTGGAGCTATGCTCTCACTGAAGTTTGTCCAGCCATACCCTTAGTCTTATTTCCAGAGCATGATATATTAGATAGGTTGAGAATATTCCAAATCATCAAGTGCTGGTTCTGTTTTGCTTAACAGTTCCTTCCTCAGTTTATTTCTTTCCTCTTGCATTTTGCTATAGGCAGCAAGGAGAAACCATGGTGACATCTTCCACACTTTGCTTAGAAATCTCCTCAGCTAAATAGCCAAGTTCATTCAGTTGACCCCTGAACAACATAG